GTACTTGAATAGATTCCCTTTCCTTGAACATTCTCATTTCCTACTCCAAACTCACTTGTATTGTCTTTGGCTCCATCGATCTTGTCACTAATAGCATCTTCAACTTTCTTGCTCAACTCATTCTTCAACTTGCTCATCTCATCTTGCATCTTCTTCATTTCATCTTGGAAAAGCTTGGCTTGCTCAGCCATCAACTCTTTAGCAATTTGTTTGGCCATCTCGACGGCATCGGCTTGCATCTTTTCGGTGTTTGACATTGTTTCTTCTCACGCGGTGAAGCAATAAAAGAAGACCTTGCTCTAATACCAATTGAAATGATCTAAACAATACCTAGAGGGGGGTGAATAGGCGTATCTAAAAATTTCTACACAAATCTTAAAGTAACTTGTCAGTCACTGCCAAAACTTCCGACAGTTTGGGCTAGAACTTCCGGCAGTCGGAAGTTCCGACGCAAAAAGCCGGTAGTTCTGACTCCTACGTGAACTACTCAACCCAAGCTAAAATGAACTTTGTGATTCTGATAACTTACAACCCCACTTCCTAGTGGTAAGGTGAAGCATTAGGGTTGCTCCTTTGACGCCAAAAAACCTCAACTCCATAGATCGAGTCCAAACCCTAAGAGATTCTTTGAGGGAGAAGAGAAATAATGAAGAACAAATATCATAGCACAAAAATACAACAACAACAAGCACGTGGGACATAATGATTTATCCTGAGGTTCGGCAACCCCACAAAGGAGCTCTTACGTCCTCGTTGTTGAGGTGACCACAAAGGTCAGAGTTTCTTCCACCTCCTTTCCTCGCTCAAGGCAACCACAAAGGTCACTTGAGCTTTCCACAAAGAAATCAAGGGTAATACAAACTTTCTAAGGCTCTTCGATAAGATGGAAGCTCTTGGGCGATGCCTAGCTGGCTAGGAGCAAAGCTCCAAGAGTAATAGACGCAAATCCAACCGGCTTGACGAAGAAATCAAGTGCTCAAGCTTGCCAAAGTGATTCTCTTACTCAATCCACTCTCCTTTCACTCAAATCCTTAGGAGAATCGAAGTTAGGAGCAAAGGGAGAGGAAAGAGGAGTCTTGAATGCTTGGGAGCTATTTTGGCTGGAGTTAGGTCGTAATGAATGAGTGAGTAACGGTTAAAAGAGAGGAGAGAGCTATTTATACTCTTAGGCAAAATCCAACCATTCAGATCTGCGTCGAAAGTTCCGACATAGATTGTCGAAACTTCCGGCTCCTATAGAAAACACTGTTCAACGCGTAGGCAACTAGGCTAGCTCGGCCAGCGTCGGAACTCCTAGCGGCTGCTGGGACTTTAAGCAGCCGAGACTTCTGGCTTCTGTCAGGACTTCTGGCGGCCAACCAAGCCAGGCGACTAAGTCCCAGGTCCTTGGGACTTCTGGTGGCAGCTGGGGCTTCCGGCAGCCGGAACTTCTGGCAGACGTCGGCAATATCACGACCAAAGTCCCAAAACCTATATCTAAGTGTTCATGGGGTGCTTGAGTGTCTCTCTTTTGATTTTATGTTTATGCTTGAGCACTCTATCTTCCTCAGACCACCTAGATCTATATCTCTCTTTATAGTACAGCAAACCTAAACCCAAAACTTGAAATGAAAAACTTTGAAGACCATTTTGAGTTCATCTACCTTTTAAACTTTAATAATTGAGGGACACCATTTCATCTAACATCAACTCTTTAATTCTTTCATGTGACTAAAGTTGCAGTGTATCTCAATAATATTTCATTAGTCCCTAATTTGGATGCCATCAATACACTAAAACCCACAATGGGGGCAAATGCACTTTTACTCTCTTATCCATGTATGAAGCTATTGGTGAAGCTGTTTTGCCAAACAATTTTTCTAAAATAGCTCAGCATCACCTAGAAAGTTGCTCGTGAAGCTGTTTAAGAAAACAGATTTACTAGTGAAGCTGAGTTGTGCAAGCCTAACTATAGCCATGTTATATAACTTATCTAACAAACCCTCCCCGCCTCAATGATAATCGTACAAGATTAAGATTGTGCTTGAAATTTTCCAATTGTCTCATCGACAATGCCTTAGTGAAGCCATATGCTATTTGATCTCCAAAAGGAATCTCCAACAGTTTCTTAGATACTTGCTCTCTAACAAAATGATAATTAACTTCTATACTTGTTCGAGCATCAAGAATTAGCTAAAAGATATTTGGTATCAAGATTATCACACCATAACTTGGCTGTGAGAGGACATTGTATACCAATTTTCCAAAGTAAAATTTGAATCCACATTACCTCTACTAAGGTCATGTGAACATCCAAGAGGGGGTATTGGTTGCCAAAACATGACTCCAAGTCCATGTTAGAGCTCCACCATATGCTCTTGGTCACCATGTCTCTCTTGTTCATGGTGTTGGATTTGACATACAAGGCATCCACCAACCAAAGGCTAATGCTGTGAGTCATAAAGTTTCACCACCATCACATGGCTCTTCCAGACACTTGACGCCATGTACACTACGGAGCTTCTCCACACAAGGGAGGGGTCTCCTTGTCCCCTGCACACCGATACGATGATGTTCCATACCAAGAACAAAAGGGTCGTCACCTAGGAGGCCACTACACCTTCACCCAAAGGTCATGGAGATCTGAAGTGCTCCAACTTGTAAGAAACATAAATACTAGCAAGGTTTTAGTGTGTTTGGTGGTTGATTGATAACATAACCATTAGGATTAACAGTTTGCTAGTATACATGGTGGATTAATTCTTATGATGCAATGATGGACTTGGGCTAGGCTACGGTGAAGATCAAGGAATCAACACCTCAAATGAAGATCAAAGAAGAGCATTGAAGACCCTAAAAGACAAGCAAGAAGCTCAAGGCATCATACAAATGAAGCCCGGACAATTGGACGCAAATAAACACACTCAAATGAGCACCAGAGCTTTCTGGTGTGAACCGAAACTCTCATATGTGAGCACCAGAGAAGTGGAGTGGGTCCAGACATGTAGCATTAGACAAACATGGAAGCACTGCACGACATACTTCCATTGAGGGCACCAAGAGTTTGAATATAGAGACATTGCATAGGCACGGTGGAAAAGAAGAGAGCACTAGAGCTCTCCAGTGATGCACCGAAGATTAAATGTGCAGCCCATGTCTTAGTTTCTGGACAATGCACCAAAGAAATAACTCGATAAATGAGGCTTCCAACGGGCGACAATGCCTAGTCCACATGGCAGGGTGCTAGATCTATCTGATGTTGTCACCGAAGCTATCCGGTGCTCACTGCTTTGCAACCAAAGCTTATAACGGTTAGTTGAGTTGGTTGGAGCTATATATAAGTTAGGCCTAGTAATGGGTTATGATATGCCCCTAACCCCACTTCAATCCTAGTTGAATTAGAACCGGGTCCAATTCCATTCCAACCCCCACTGGTCTGGTTCAACTCAATCCAACCTGATCCTTAGAATCACCTATCCAAATCAATCCCAACCCTGGAGGGAGGCAAACGGGGTAGCACTCTTCGTTCTCTGGTGCCACTTTGTTCCATTTTTCATTCCTACGCATGTGAAATTTTAAGAGAAGTGGAACTTTGTTATTTGAATAAAATATGCTCATGCCATGCTCATTTTTTTATTTCAAGGTATGTTGACCGTGTTTTCAAGATGTAAAACCATGTCATTTTTACCATCAACACATGAAGCCTTCACCACAATCCAAGGCCACACCTTCGAGCACACTTGTGCCTACAACCCCGGTTTCCTCAACGGGACGAGCATGGAAGGTGAGTTCGACATTGTCTTTTGTGCAATTGGATGTAGTAACTTTGGCAAATCCACGAGCACGGTTTCTCAAACTGCAGCATGGCGATAGTCCGGGTGCTACCGATGGGAAGAAGAAACAAGCAACAAGGGAGAAGAAAAGAGAGCACACGATTCAGAGATTAAGACAGACAATGGATGGGAATTCCAATTTTGCCCTTCAAGACTATACTGAAATAACAACATTACTCTTATTTAAAAAAATAATTTTAAAAAATGCAGAACTAGCCCACTTATTTTTGTACTCATTCCACCTATACCACCTATATGCTAGTAGTGTCTCCACCTAGTTCATGCTACATAAACAGCTGCAGTCGAAGTGCTGTAAAAAGTGCAATCGAGTAGGCTTACTTTAAATCTTACTTAAAAAAGTAATGACACATAGTAAGAGCATCTTTTAAGAGTTTCTAGAACCCACTCCCAATCTAGATTTTTAGCAAGTTTGAAAAAAAAACGCTCTCCAATAACTATCTATCTCAACTCTCAATCTTTTTGCACTTGGAAAAATCGATCCAATCGCGCGGAAATATACTATTGACGTGCCAATCTCGAAGTGAAACGATGTGAGAAGAATAATGAGTAATTCAGAGTTCCTGTGCAAATCTATAGGAGAGTAATTCAAAGCCCTTTGGCTCCACACTACTAAATTTCATTGATTTACCAACTATTTTTTAAAAAACTATTGGAGGTGCTCTAACGTTCAAAGATTCAAAGCGTGCTTTTTAAAACCGTGTTTACGTTGGAAGCGACAGTAAAAAAAATCGGGCCGGACGTAAAGCTGCAGCCCCTAGAGGAGAGGAGCATCAAAACCAAAAAGTGGGTCGTCCAAATGTGCCTAGTCCTGTCGTGAACTCGTGATTACTGATTAGCTCGGACTTAATCGCTGTCTAAGCCCTATCTTAAGATAAATCCAAAAAGCACCACCCGTCCCGTCCCCCTTCACCCCTTCCCCACCCGAGTTTTTTTTAAACCCGCCACTTAACAGCTGCACAAGACAACCGCAACCGCAGCTGCTACTGCTAGACCAACACGCACTCTCGCACACAGCCGCGGGGCGGGCACAGTGACGCGGGCGGAGGAGCGGCCGCCGAGCTAGGGTTTCCCTGATCCGGCGGGGCCGGGGAGCGGGCGGGAACCCTTTGCCCCCTGAGGCCGGCGGGTTGGGGAACTGGGGCGCGGCGCCGGGGGCTCAGATCTGGTATGACCGACGGCGGCGAAAACGGGAATGCGGCGGCGCCCAGGGGCCCCGCGCGCCGGAGGGGCCCCGTGCGGGCCAGCCTCGACGCCGACGAGTTCATCGCGCTGATGCACGGCTCGGATCCCGTCAGGGTCGAGCTCACCCGCCTCGAGAACGAGCTCAGGGGTCGGTTTCATGGCCTGTCTGTCCATTTCATGCTTTGGTTTTCCTCACTGCAGCGGGTTTCTAGGGTTTTGCCGTGGAGGGAGTATTTACTATTTGTGTGCGGTTTTCGCTGGTGTCAGACAAGGAGAGGGAGCTTGGGGAGGCGCAGACGGAGATACGCGCGCTGCGCCTGTCGGAGAGGGCTCGGGAGAAGGCCGTCGAGGAGGTAATCCCCAATTGCTTTCTAGTACAATCTATCTATCGTGCTACCATGTGGATAATATAGTCTTCAATCCCTTGAGAGAGAGAGAGAGAGAGAGAAATGCCCCAAAAAGGAGCTTGATGAGAGAGAAAGGAAGAATCGTCTGTTGCTATTTTAGGGATGTCTATTCCCTTCGGGTTGCATCTCGAAGTGATGTTGATTGTGGAAAATAGCCAGCTTGTGGTGAGCGAGTGAGCTAGGTTTGACCAGATTCCTCACAAGAAGAAAAAGATAAAAACAAAACTAGGTGTGCCCGACTGTAGTTTGAGTCCAAAGAATCGGATGTGTTTCGGCATTTAGCAACAGTGGATTGTCTTACTTGGTTTGGTAGCTTTGACTTTTGACCTAACTTATGTCACTGCATGATAGAAATTTCTTGCCAATCTTGAGGCAATGATATGATTATTCCTTTCCTCCATCTTTTTTCTTTTCTTTTGTTATTTGCTTCAGAAAACTTGTTTTTGTCAGGACCTCGTGCTTTTAAGGCTGACCAAAGTAAATTTGATACAGAAAATTCATAAATTTAATTTGTTCCCAGACAATGTCGTGATCATGTTATCTGTTTTCTTAATTTTCCCACATTCTGGAGCTAATTTGTTACCTGCAGCATTGGCTTTCTGTCATGTGGCCTTGGTACCCTTTTGGGATTTTTATGGGATATTTGGTTTGAAGCAAAATATGGCCCACCAAACCTTACGGAATTTAGCATTGCAAGAAGTTTTTCACCAATAAACCCATAGGTTGTCCAAACATTGGCAAGACAATAGACTAAGGTTTCACTTGGCAAGGGAACCTTGTTGAATTTATGTAGAAAAACAGATACTTGCCAAATCTGGTCAGCCCAGCCAAATTCTGTTAAGGAAACATTGGCTCAGAATCTTGTAGAGCCTGTTTGTCATGGCCCCATGGTTCAGTGATCTAGTGCTTGTATCTTTTCCTAAGAGGGCTTATCTTTTTAACAGTTGTTACAACGCATAACCATTTGCTTCTAAGATATTTTAAGATTCTACTATGGTTTCATCAGCCTCAAACTACCATGGTCCTCTTCTGAGCTTGTACATTTTTTTTAACTAACCTGATACCAAGAGAACACTTGGGCATGTATACATTCTGCTGCATTATCATATTTCCACGATATTCTTACAACAACAACAACAACAAAGCCTTTAAGTCCCAAACAAGTTGGGGTAGGCTAGAGTTGAAACCCATCATTTAATCAAGGTTCTGATGTGAATAGCATTTGTCTTCCAATCTAAGGCTAAGTCTTTGGGTATATTCCATCCTTTCAAGTCTCCTTTTATTGCCTCTACCCAAGTCAACTACCTCTTCCTCTCTTCACGTTACAATCCACATATATGATTCCACTACACACCGTGCCTCTGGAGGTCTCCGTTGCAAATGTCCAAACCATCTCAACCGGTGTTGGACAAGCTTTTCTTCAATTGGCGCTACCCCTAATCTATCACGTATATCATTCTGATCCCGCCTTGTATGACCACAAATCCAACGCTGTTATTTCCGCCGATTACACTTAGTTGTTGAACATGTCGCCTTTTTTTAAACATGGTGTCTAATCGCCGTCCTATAAAACTTGCTTTTTAGTTTACAGTAAACCCTTTTGTCATATAGGACACTTAATCCACCAGCTTTGATTCTGGCTAACATCTTCATCAATATCCCCGTTCGTAGCATTGATCCTAAATATCGAAAGGTATCCTTCCTAGGCACTACTTGACCTTCCAAACTAACATCTTCCTCCTCCCAAGTAGTAGTGCCAAGTCACATCTCATATACTCGCTTTTAGTTCTCATCGAGTCTAAAACCTTTGGACTCCAAAGTCTCCCGCCATAACTCCAGCTTTAGATTCACTCTGTCCGCTTTCATCAACTAGCACTACATATCCTAATCGGAAGTCATCCGTAATCTCCATCATTGTTGAACTCTAGTCACAACATTGTTGTAATGTCCTTGTCTCACAAGGTTTGGGACTTTATGTTTGTCCAAAGCCCACCACATAGCATTCCTTGGTATTTTATCATTTTTCTCCAAGTCAATAAAAACCATGTGTAGTCCTTCTTTTCCTATACCACTCCATAACTTGTCTTATTAAGAAAATGGCTTCCATGGTTGACCTTCCGGGCATGAAACCAAATTGGTTCATAGAGACAGGATTGTCTCAAGCGATGCTCATAACTCTCTCCCATAGCTTCATAGTATGGCTCATCAACTTAATTCCCGGTAATTAGTACAACTTTGAATATCTCCTTTATTCTTGTAAATCACTATACTTCTCCACTCATCGTCATCTTGTTCGAAGAAAAATATGGTTGAACACAGTTAGCCATACTATAGCTATGTCCCCGAGGCATCTCCACACCTAATTGGGATACCATCCGTTCCATCGCTTACCTCCTTTCATCCTTTTCAAATTCTCGACTTCACTTCTTGATTCTCCGCTTTAAAGCGCCTAATATATTTCTTGGAGCTTGGTTTCCCTTCATTTATGATTCTGATGTGTCTAATCAACTCAGTCATAGCATATGTACAGGTACCCTTCACAGTATTACCAATCCAAGGTTTAAAATCCACATGCTTGTTGGCTGTTTTTGAAATTTGAAATTTACATATTCTGTTGCCACCTGTTATTAATTAATTAACCAACGTAATGCCTCTTTTAAATTGGTCTGCGTGCTTTAACTGAAATGACAAAATTATATTTAACACCAGAATTTGGTTACCTCTCTGCTCTCTTGGTTCGACGCTGATAATTCGAATTAGAAGTAATTTCGCCTTGACGTACATGCGTACGCTGCTTTCATGCCAAAGAAAGTGAGTTGTATGTTTTTTAAGGTGTGCTGTTAATAATTATTGATAGTTTTGTTTAATGATCTTGTCTCACAAGGTTGCTTTTCTGGGAGAGACTGAATCTATGATTGAATTTTGTTTAATGGAGTGATGTTTTCAAGTATTATTTGGTCGCTAAGAACAAAGTGATTGTCAGGAGTCAGGACAGTAGCCAAATTTACTTCATGATGAAATATACTTATTTTGTGCCCTGCACTTGGGTCACTGGAAGAATGGCACATTCAAGAAATGAAATAACTGATGAAGTGTTCCAGCTCATATGGGTTCTAAATTCCTTCACTTTGAAAGAAATATGCTGCTGAATTAGTTGCTATATGTGTGTTTTAGTAAAAAAAACTTGGATGCAAATAACTCCCTTTTATTTCTAATGTGATTGTATTTTGGCGGCAGCTTACAGATGAATTGGAGAAGATGGCTGAGAAACTCAAGCTGACAGAATGTCTCCTCGAAAGCAAAGTACCACAGCTTGTCCTTACTTTTTGCTTGTTTCCTCTATTGATTGATTGCAGTTAACCAAGCCCAAAAAATACCTGCAGAATCTTGAAGTTAAAAAGATAAATGATGAGAAAAAAGCTGCGTTGGCTGCCCAGTTTGCAGCAGAAGCAACTTTACGAAGAGTACATGCTGCCCAGAAAGATGATGACATGCCACCAATTGAAGCCATTCTTGCACCACTTGAAGCTGAGCTAAAGCTTTCTCGACAGGAGGTAATACTTAGTCTTTATAGTCAGTTGTTCTTTATTTGTGTTTGTGCAGATGTCTTTCTTAGGTTTTTGTTACGTTTGCAAATGTTTCATGCCCCCAGTCACCCTGGATCATCTAACTACTCTTTTCTAATTTGTCATGTACTCATTTCCTGTGGACAAAGTGTATGACAAGTTAAACCTTGTTTTCAGATTGCAAAGCTCCAGGATGACAACAGAGCTTTGGATCGTCTAACAAAACAAAAGGAGGCAGCTTTGCTAGAAGCAGAGAGGACCGTACAAATTGCTATGGCAAAAGCTGCTATGGTTGACGATTTGCAAAACAAGAACCAAGAGTTGATCAAGCAAATTGAGATCTGCCATGTAAGTGGGTGCATGCAGTTTATTCTCTATCATGAAAGACAATAACTTGGCATTCCAATTGAATTAGTTTAGTGCCTAATTGATTGATTTTTTTGCATTGCAGGAAGAAAATAAAATATTAGACAAGCTGCATCGCCAAAAGATTGCAGAAGTTGAGAAGCTTAGCCAAACTGTGAGAGAGTTGGAAGAGGCTGTTCTTCAAGGTGGTGCAACAGCCAATGTTGTTCGAGATTACCAGCGCAGATTTCAAGAAATAAATGTAACAAAATATCCTTAGATTGGTTACTTCTTTTGCCATCAAATCCATGTCAATTTTTTTTACCCTTTTCACATGAACACTTGATTCATGCTTATGTTTATGATTTTATTAGGAAGAAAAGAGAACACTTGACCGTGAACTTGCACGTGCAAAAGTTACAGCAAACAGGGTTGCTTCTGTTGTTGCCAATGAGTGGAAAGATTCTAATGACAAGGTGATGCCAGTTAAACAGTGGCTTGAAGAACGTAGGTTCTTGCAGGTATGATGGTTAAACTAGCCTTTTCTTTACCAATGTACTTTGTTAGCATTCAACTCTGCAAAAATATGCATATTCTTTGGTTAAACTAAATGTACCACCTGTTGGACAAGGTTCTTTTCTCGAGTATCATATGATAGGTACCATCCTTTGATAATTTCTTGTTTCTACAGGGGGAGATGCAACAACTTCGTGACAAGCTTGCCGTTGCAGAACGTACAGCACGATCTGAAGCTCAACTGAAGGTACATAACTTGTTTGTTACAGTTGAGCAGCCAGGTTGTGTTCTGCTGATTGCTTGCCTATTAGCTTCCTAGCTTGACATATAGATGTTACCTGTTACAGCCTTCATATTATAATGCAATCTAGCATTTGTAAATGAGTTATTTCAGATGAACTAAACTTCTGCACCTTACTCAGGAAAAATATCAGTTACGTCTGAAAGTACTAGAAGATGGACTAAGGGGGCCACCAAGTGGCTCTAGTCGTCCACCTACTGAAGGAAAGAGCTTTAGCAATGGCCCTTCCCGCCGGTTATCACTTGGTGGAGCTGATAACATATCAAAGTTGTCTCCAAATGGCTTATTGTCAAGGAGATCTCCTTCTTTTCATTCAAGATCATCTCTTTCGTCAAACAGCAGCTTGGTTCTGAAGCATGCTAAAGGCACTTCGAAGTCATTTGATGGCGGAACTAGGTCACTAGATAGGGGAAAGGTCCATGGAAATGGAGCTCATTTACTCAACAGATCTACAGATGCTGTTAGAGATAAAGAGACTAATGATAGTTGGAAGGGTGATATGGACGAGATAACTAATGATAGTGCAGTCAGCAATGCAGATGAGAAAAGTAACGAAACCACAAATAATAACTCAGCTGAGACAGTTTCTGGTTTCCTATATGATATGCTGCAAAAAGAGGTCATTTCTTTGAGAAAGACATGCCATGAAAAGGATCAGATTCTAAAAGATAAAGATGATGCTATTGAGGTATGTGTCCATTTCTTTTCTTATTTGCGCACTTTAGTGGATAGTTAGTTATATACTGATTATTATGAAGTGGATAGTTAGTTATATACTGATTATTATGAAGTTTGCTTATCTATTGTTGTCTGGCAGATGTTAGCAAAGAAAGTAGACACCTTAACCAAAGCAATGGAAGTGGAAGCTAAAAAGGTCAGACGAGAGGTTGCAGCCATGGAGAAAGAAGTTGCAGCAATGCGTGCCAGTAAAGAACAAGAAATCAGAGCCAAGCGGCTTGGTACGAAAGGCTCTAGTAGTTCACAGCTGCTTCCTGGAAGGTACATTTTCAGGAATGCTACAATTTTTTTATAGAAGTTTGAGGTTCTCATTATTGAAATGCTCAAAAAAAAATTCAAACCGAATGCTCAATGCTTAGGATACTGTTTGATCATTGTTAAGGGTACTAGTCATTAGACTAGGGAGATTACACTTGTTAAGGGTGTTAGTGTAATCTCACTAGTCTAGGGTTTCTCTCCTGTGTCCCCATGTATTCTATATATAGTCCCCCTATTAGGCCTCAATACTACAATCCAGTTCAGTCCCCCTTTATTCGTAACAATCATAAGTAAAAATCAGCCTAATACATAGCTAAAGAGGTTGAGGTAGCCTAATATCATATTTTACTATCCATAGATGTTGAGCAGTAAGTATTTCACTTTTTATTTTTCAGATATCATTTTAGAAATTTGGATTTTGGGGCTACACGTATCCAAATAGATGGACTAATTAGTTTTATTTCAAACTGACACTTTTTCTTTTTATTTAATGATCAGATATTCTCTTAGTTTTTGGAAGTTCTCCATGGGCTTAGTTTTATCATGTTTATCATGCCATGCACAACAATTTGCGATACATGTGATCCTCGATATAATGTCCTATTGATTGTGATAAATATAAGTACCATCAACAACTGTATCTTTGGTTTGAAGAACCTTTGTTTTCATATAGTGCAATCTTTTGAAACCATTGATGTTTGTCTTATAGACTGCTGCAAGCTGGCGCAAAATGTCTTATCCCCCCAACAAAAAAAATCCTATTCTTTTTTTCTAAATCACATTGAATTCTGTTCTATGCCTGCAGAAACGCACCACGAAGTGGGTCGATGCGCAACTTCCAGTGATGGCAGCACTAACACCAAGCAGCATTCTTGGATAGATCGTTTTCTGTTCCACCATTTGTTCCATTCCTATCCTATTAATTTTGTGGCTAAAATCATAGCAGTGAGATGACCCAACAATACCTAGATCAGGGTAAGAGTAGGCTCGGATCTGATGAGACCATTGTGAGAGTGAAGCTGAGCCTATGTGTCTAACCTTGTGGCGCGCCCTCTTGTTTCTTTTTATTATTAGTCCAGGCAGTGCACCTGATGCTTGTATAGGCTGGGATCTTCGCATGCCCAATCTGTAATGTAGCTTGAGTGCTCAGTTACACAGGACACCCGTTGCCCAGGTTTTGAATATTGTATCCTCTCACATGCTTTGCTTGCGCTGCTCTATTTGCCCTGTGTTTGGGTTGGAATTTTTAACATGGCTTCTGGCTTGTCTGAGTTCTGTTGATTAAGTGGTGACACATTCATCTGCATATATGCATCTAATGGCAACTGCCAACTGATGTCTATCTTCCATGTATGGCATGCTTCTGGATCGGGTTGACATTGGGGTCAAAAATTTCCTGTAGTACTGTCGGGAGTATTGTTTTAGGCCTTGTTTCGATACTACAGCTATCTGTGCATAATAACTGTCTACTGTCATTGTCGAAAGTTACAGTCAGATAATTTTGGAGAGCTACAGTTTTGCGTGGATTCACATGTCACCCAACTCGTATAATCGTACGTGGACTTGTGTAGCTGATCGTGAGCGGTGAAGACTGATGACATAAGTAGTCATGGTTCTATGAAACTAGTCGAGGTTGAGCTTGTTGACAGTTTTTCATATAGATTTCTCGTTTTGTGAAACAATCCGCTAAACATTTCGACGTGACAGCACAAACTCACAAAATAGTATAGTATGATCAAATTTTTGGAATTGTAAATATGACAATATGCCTAGTACGCCATGGTACGTTGCAACGAGCGTGAAGTGGCCACCAAGGAGTATTCCATGTCGTGGACCAACACACTCCATTCTCAGTTATGCCCCCTGGAATGCGGAATTTTTTCCCCTTAACCCTGTGTTTTTTTCCATGAAATTGAATTGACTTCTGTGAAGTTTCTGCATGGTTTTTGCGAAATTTTTGTGTTCCAAAGGGGCCTAAAAGGGGCCTAACAAATTGACCTTTCAGCTCAAACCGATGAGCCCTTTGGCGCGTATATTTCGGGCGCGTTTGGTTTGCCACCACCACCACCACACTTAGGCTGCCACAGCTATTGATGGTGATGTTTGGTTGGTGATTCACTTTTGGCTGCCACAACTTTTCACAGAGTAAGTTCCAGCCACAAGTGATGAGGACATCACATACCCGGATACAACTATATTAGCAACTTTTGATTCACAGGTGAAACAATCCTTTACCATGATTGTATTTGATCCATTTGATGAATTGATGCTGCACCATGATGTGTGTTCATTGTCATTTTCAGAAATACATACATGGATCAAAAAGAGTGTTAAAGACACATGGAAGACATGGAAGGACCAAAGAAGATGATTGGGGGCCAAGTACAAGTATTCCCAACGTCCTCCACCTGTAGACCACGTCACTTTTGGCCCAAGGAAAGAAAGAGATCAATCCAACACGTTTTGGGCTGGATTCGGACTACAACACTGTGCCAACTTGCGATGGCCGCCACGACCTGATCCGGACTCCGTTTTGGGTGTTCAAGTACTTCATGAAATTCTTATGAAGTTTATTTTCACATGGATCTGGAATCAAGTCCATATCTGTTCTGAGGCGGCCGCAATGACCGAATTACTACCGAGAGGTTTTCTGTCTAAAGGTGCTGCGTCGCCTTAGTTTGGTCCAATGGGCCGTGTATCAAGTCGGGTCCATTAGGGACGCATCCTAGGTTGGAGCACGACCCCAACACCCTGGTGGTCTTCCTTCCACCTTCATATACCCCTTAGCCGCCACCCAGAACAGTTAGGTTTTGTTTTGTTGAAAGTTTAGCCATTGCTACTTCCTTGTAGACGCGTGTGTTGATTAGACCATCCGTTCTACTTGATTCAGAACCCCAACTTTGTGAGTTCAGATTGGTTTTTCATCTCCATAATTGCAATTGAGTTGCTTGTTCTACTTGTTCTTGCTTGTTCCTCGATTGCTAGCAGGAATTACCCTAGTGGTTTGGTTGATCGTGCTCCACAAGATCGCGATGACCATTGAAGGTGGTGTATCGGTTGCTAAGGTCCAACATCCTTGGATGGTTGTAGTCGGGCCGTGAATGTCATCTCCATTCCCAAATCGAGTTATCTACCTTCTCTCATCGAAAGATCGAGATTCACCCTAGCGGATTCATATCAGTTGGTAATCAGAGCAAGGTTTATCGGTGAGAGACTTCGAATCCTTTGCTGTTTTAAATTTTTCCTATAGTCCAGAAAAGCAAAAAAAAAGATTAGTTTACCCACAATCCTATAAATCCTTTGAGCCTTTGCTAGCACTGCTTAGTTAGGGCTTGTTGAGTTTTTGGTTGCATCGGTTGTGTCGAGTTGCTAGTCTTAGTGTCTATTCCTTTAGAGTTTTGAGTTCTATCACATTTTGGTCACTACGAGATCCACCATCACCATATACATCTTTGCTTCGTTTTTGCCACCACTGATCCATATGATGTCCGATTTGAGAGTTTAAATACAATCTAGAAAGATAAAGTTGTTTTCTTTCCAATGCATCTGGCCTTTAAGAAAAATTCATTCTGATTGCTCCACAATCTTCCTAGAGATTTCTGCATCTGTTGTAATAACAAGAGTTGTTAAATCTGAATTCGAAGGGGTTGTGTGCAATAGCCTTATTATTTTGGTTGTCATAGTACCAAACAAAATATTTAGGGCTCTGCAAAAAAAAAGAAAAAAAAGACAAGAGAAGGAGAAGAAAAGAAGGGGTTGAATCTGTTGTTTTCTTCGTGATGTGCTAGTTGCTCTTTTTCAGTGACTACTATTGTGCCTAGGCTCACGTCTCTAGCATGGTTTAGCCTAGGACCAGCACAGTACCGCCGTTGAACGATTATTCAGCTTGCTTTTGTGACTAACGCGGTGCTAGTACTTCCTTGCTTCAGCCCACCTATAGCTCCACATATTTCGACTACAGCTTGATAGGTGTTGTTGTTGCGGCACCGATATACTTCGCTCCACGGTTGTAGACTTGTTGGTTGCCATCACCTCATGTTTGGCTTGGTAAGAACTTGTAAAGGCTTGTTTTAACAAGTTGAGTTTGAGAGAATTACAACGAACACATCCTATTAGTTGATAGGAGGATACATATTATTTTTGTGTTTCTTGTTTTCTACTAATCATAGTAGGTGATACGAAGATTTTTGAGCTATTGAAACTAGACCCTCATATTTAGGATGTCATTCAACACTTGCCGTTATATGATGGTAAGTTTGACCCTCAAGCTTACATTGATTGGGAGCTAAAAGTATATAATGAATTTGATGAGCATGACCTGTCCGAGAAACAAAAGATTTGTATTGCCTCTAATGTTTTGATTGAATATGCTTTGCTGGAATGAAAACACATTTGTAGGCACAACAAAGTTCTAGAATCTTGGGAAGACTCAAATTTCTTTTTAGATATGCATTCGTTCCTGCATATTATGTTGATTATTTACTTGCAAAATTAGACAACTTGAAGCAAGATAGTAGGACTGTAAAAGAATACTACCATGATTTTAAGATTTGCATCATGTTTGGTGGATTAGTTGAATGCATGGAAGATGCTATGAGTAGGTTCATGAGAGGACTCAATTCTAAAATTTGAACCTTGTTAATTAGTAACTCATACATACATATTGGTCAATTGTTTTGTCTTGCTCTCAATGCTAAAAGGAGAGTCTATTATCTATGAATACTTGCAAGAATAATATGACCCATAATGTCCAAAATTTGTCCACTCTGCACGTTAATGAAGAGCAACAAATAGTAGAACCCACTGCTAATTTTCCTTTGTCACAAAATAAATTACTTGTTGTTCCTTGTGATAAAGAGGATCTATGTGCTGATGATTCCTTTACTCCTATGCCACAAGTAGCGAATAAGTGTGATACTTTTGGCTTGGAACCATACAAATGTGCTGAAGAAAAGATTTTTCATCCTATTACTTGTGCACAAGATGAACTGAATTTGTTGTCCCCTTTAAATACTTTAGGTTATATTAAATTTGATATTCTATGTAATCTAAATTGTCTAAAAGATAAACTTAAATTTGATTCTAGTTTGCCAAGTTTTAATCATTGTTCGCTTCATGCAATTGGCAAATACGACAGCAAAGGAGAATATTTGGTGCATAAAGTTTATATTTGCTCTAATATGAAATGTCCTTATGGGCTATAATACCATGAACAAATAGGGGGCTGCACTAACACTAATAATGTCTTGCAAAATTTTTCTAGTTTTTTCCATATGCAACAGGGTAATCCTGAAGAAAGGGAGCATTACTGGTTGTGGCCGTGCAGCATAGCCATCGCTTTGTGTTCCAACATCAAAGCAAGCACTTTTGAATGCCATTGAAGCAAGTCGAGGACGACTTACAGCCAAGAAGAGGAGAATGATGAGGACATCACATGCCCGAATACAACCATATTAGCAACTTTTGATTCACAGGTGAAACAATCCTTTACCATGATTGTATTTGATCCATTTGATGAATTGATGTTGCACCATGATGTGTGTTCATTGTCATTTTCAAAATACATATATGGATCAAAAGGAGTGTTAAAGACACATGGAAGGCATG